AAACTGCTATAAATGTACAGGTTTCAGCAGTTCTAGCCAGAGGCCTGCTCCCCAAAATTACAACCACAGATATGTCACGGGGGAAGGAGTACTCTACAGATCAGAACAACTAGTTCTTTTTGGAAGTATTTAAAAGAAGATTTGTACATATATTTTCCTTCACTTCACAATCAACTAATTTTAGATACCAGGAGATCAGGAAACCAAGGTAATCCTTCCCTGTTACTTCTCCAGTATATTTTACTTATAAAAGAAATAACCTGTATCACCTCCCGCAATTGCCAGAGTGACCTATGCAGACTGTAAGTAGTATTTATCCTCTGAACAGGAGAGTAGAAGATGAAAAAAAAAACCAAACCCTTCCCAAAACAAAAAGCAACCCTCCGACCTAACCAAACAAAAAGTAAATATATTCCAAAATATATCCTCAAATAGCAAGTACAAATCTGGGTTCTCAAACCACGGCTGCTGTGACAAAGCTCTGGGTTTACTCTGTCCTACGCAGGCAGGGACGTGAGCAGCTCAGACCAACACACAGCTCTTTTTAGCGTTGGAAAAGAGGTGGTTTATGCACAAACAACTGGCAATCAAGTGAACACAGGGGAGATTCAAACTCATGCTACAAACCCGTGCTGTGTTCCTCCAGAAGCATTTCTTCCAAAAGCCTCAGGGAACAGTCTCCTCGGCGGGTTCCTGATGGGCCTGGCACCGCGCTGCTCCACACAGCAGACTAGAAAGAGGACTCGTCTCTCAACACAGAGCAAAACACTGGCAGGAACAAGTAATTACCATGGCTATTAATTTCTAATTCATTTTTATACCATAGTGAACCTGACGGAGGTTTCTCAGCCAGGTACCGTATTTCTAACCTAAAGTATTTCAGCAAAACTAGTGTCCCATAGTTTTGCAAGCAGCAAAATAGAAAGTAACAAAGTTGTGTCTAATTGGAGGAGAAATATACATTCGTGAGAGCACGTACACTTAGTGCAACACAGCTACTCTGGAAGTAACGAACCAAACCGGATTAATCAATGCAGCAGACATGCAGGGTCTGCTAAGTTATGTTAAAACCATGTTTGCTGGTGATTAAATATGTCTACAGAAGATATATTACCATTTTGAATATATTTTCAAGCAGACCAAAAATACCTCATCTATTGGTTACTGGCGTGTTATTTTTAACTAATTAAATATTGGGAGGGATTTTACCCCTCTCGCTATAAAAATTGCACTTATTTTCTATTAAACAAAAGTTAGATTTCAATTCTATATTCCAGTATATATTCACATTGAAACTGGATCGTCTTGATCTAAGCTTGCAGGAGTAGGTGTAGCAGTCCTTGCTCTCCAAGATCCCCCAGCACAGAAGGTCCCATAAGTACAAACCCCTCCTTCCTCTGTGCTCTGGTCACTTCTTCACTGTAGTGCATGGGTAATTGATTTTATTTTTTGTAAGAAAACCTGAGCTTCAAAAGTCTTTAAAAGGACCCGGAATCAAATCTGGCCCATTCTGACCCAAAACAGCTCAGTTCTGCAAGGAACTCCATCCTGTCCTCGTTTCACACAGCTCCTCCTGAGACACCACGGCTCTGACCTGAGGCGAGTGAGGTGTCAAACCCTTTCTCTCCAGTCTCTCTTGACCCAGGAGACACTTTCCTCCCGACACACTTCCGAGGGCTCCTTCTTCCCTCCCTTTAGCACTGCTGCCTCCTGTAGGGCTTTGAAGGGCTCCCTGTGCCAATAAAAAAGTCTCTCTGCGATAAGCATGACTTCTTGGACACCGGTGATCAACTTCTTCTTGCAAAGTCTTCTCCAGCTCATAAAATGTCATCGTAATCCAATAGTTTAGAGTGCTGGCGGGTCTTCCAGAGGCGGTAAAGGCGGAAGTCAAAGTAAGTCTCAATCATTTGCTTACCTAGGAGAAGTGAAACGAAGCAGAGGGGTTACACCCTGCAGCACCAGGGAGAGACGCGAGGGGCCGCAGCAGCAGAAGACCCCAACCCACCTACAGGCACAGGAGAACCCGTCCATATGCCTCATTTGGAAAATACTGACATTCAGCCAGGGCACGTGAAGGTGCCCGTGAGAAGCAAACGTCTTTTTAGATCTCCTCAGAGCATGAAAGGCTCCTTAATAATCCCCTGGCAGGGTTTGTCCGCGGGGGCGGGAACTCAACACAAAGGCTGTCTGCAGGCTTTGACCTCTCTGCGCTGACTGCAGAACGGGGGGCCAGGGGCTGCAGGGTATCCACAGCTCCAACAGCCTGCACCGGGCAACCTGGCACCGAGACTTCAGCAAATTGCAAATCAAGAGTAAACTCATTGTAAAGATTTGTGGGAAACATTAAAAATAATTAACACTGAAAATGCAGAATAATTTTTTTTAAATTAACATTAAGAGGCTGTCTCTGTCCTGCAGAGCTGTCTCTTCTCACAGCAATGGGCTCAACAGGACACCCTGATGCAAGTTCTGCATCGCTGGCACCCCTGATTGAAGGTGGGGGGTCTCAAGGCAGTCTCAGACTGAAAGCCACGCACAGGGCTGGCGCTGGAGGCAGCGAGTGCATTTGAAAACACAAGGGCAAACGATCCTGGACTCTGAGACAGGGCTCAAGGAGGGGATTTTCGCTTTTGAGGCCTGCTTAAGATTAGTTTCAGGTGACTTTGCAAAGGATTAGAGAGGGTGCACTATTAGCGCATCCCAGATTGATCAAGGGGATAAATTCGGACGTATTCTTCAACCCAGCCTCCTGAAAGATCAACTGCTGAAACGCATGCGCGCAGAGCCTTGCCTGCCAAGCTGCATATAAACCCAGGAATTTCCCTGCGGGTTGCTTCTGGGCACGCGTGTATGAGCACGTTCGCTGTGGGATCTGTGCAAGCACTGCATAAAGCTGGGTCCAGACCTCAACAGGACACGCACAGGGAACTCTGCGCAGCACCAACGTGCCCAGCTCCCCTGCATTCCTGTGACGGTAAGTGGGAGTTAAGAATAACCCATCGGTGCTGATGCCAGCTGTGAGCAGCAGAGGAAGTATCCACGGTGCTTATGGCCTAATGCTGCACGTTTTTATCTTCCAAGGGGACAAAGTACCAAGGACTACAGCAAAGATAAAAGAAGAAGGGCAACTTCAGAATAAGTCGACTATATGTTGCTTATGAAACTGCACCCGTAATTACTTAGATTGACCAAAGAACAGGAAAAATTCTATAGCCCTTTGAAATATCTTGAGCCACAGGCAGAAAAAAGCAAAGCTGACTGGGAGATAGAATGGCTATAATGGGCTACATCCCAGTCGCTTGTTGATGACACAACTCACTTGGCACCAGTAAGAGATCCCTGCACACTTGGTTACAGAAAAGGTTCTGCTCCCATGTGCATCGCTCCCATGGATTTCATATACTCTAGTAATATGACAGATCTCCTCAGCTCAGCCTGGAAAGCAGCCTATTATTTAGGCTACTTTGCCACTGCCAGTAGCCTAGGAGAGGGCCCTGCAGCTTCAGGCACAACAAAGAGGATAGCTGAGATGTGAACATGGAGGAATTGCAAGGGTACAGCAAGCGAATGACACAAGGTGGTTACAAGCAAAAGGATGAGCATGGCAGGGCTTGCGGGAGCTCAAAACAGCTTTTTCATGAAGATGCCCACTGAAGGAGCCAGGCTGATCAAGACGACATGTGTCTTTGTACAGAGAATAGATTACCTTGAGCTGATAGTTCAAGTGGAGACTCAAAGGCAACCCTATAAGGATTCATTAAGTTTTTCAGATTCTGAAATAGCTGAAAGGAAAACATATCGAGAGTTAGCAGCTGAAAACAAAGATGAACTCCAGGGCACCCAGAATTGCCCATCCTTGTTCCCTGCCTCTAACAAACCTCCCACTACATGTCCTTTACAACACCTAGCTCATCAGGAAATAAAGTGCTTTGAATGACTGTTCCCCCCAAAGGCTTCCGTGTCCGTCCCTTCCTGCACTCACTTATCGCTCCTCCCCTGCCCCCTGGGGAAGGCACAACCCATAGGGTGCTTCGCCCATTCACAGCCTCTCGCGGGACAGCATGGCAGCATGTTTCACACAGCAGCAGAAGGTTTAGACTTCACAGTGTAACTACTGCCTCCCTGGGCTTGGTGCTACGCAGCAGACATTCCCAGAGAGGCAACCCAGGAAACTCTTACCTTCTCCCCATTGGGGTTTCCAAGAACGTAGCAGCCCATGATGTGAATGATATTTGGTTCAGGATTGACTTTACTCATCAGCCGGCTCAACCTCTTCCAGAAGCTGGAAGAAACAGGAAAAAACAGAATACAAAATTTAAAAAAAAATCTCTCTCTTCATATGCATGGGTAATCACAAGGGTGTGTGTGCACACACTGCTCAGAAGGGCCTGAGGCTTGTCACCCGAGGAGCAACTGCTCAGGAAGAGCCATTGGTTCTCAGACAAGGAAGAGCAGGGGCAGAGAAAGGGCCCGAGGAGCAGGTCCAGGTCATGTGGCAGAGAAGGAAAAGCGGCCCATCGAGCCAAGGAAGCTCCAAGATGAAGAGAAGGGAGCAAAGTCCACCAGGAGTGCTTTTAGACTGACAGTTTTACTAAGCATCCTCTTTTTGTAGCAGTTCCCTCCAACTTCCTCTCTCCCATTTCTATCCACAATTGCCCTTTCTAAATATGAGTGTTCTCAGTGCGCTGGTTCATTTCCAGGGCATGAAATCAGCAGAGAACCTTGGAGAGGTTGTTCTTCTACATTGCTACAGAGACAATGCCAAACCAGGCTGTTCCATGTTAGCCAGCGCTTGGTGCTGCTCGCCACTCAGACCTGCTTTACATTTTGTGACTACTGACCAGGCAGGCTGTGCCTAAGGGGCATGAAATACAACCACCCCCGTGCAGTGGGATAGAGCGGACTTCTGGAGGGCTGTAAAGCCCAGCAGTTCCTCTGGGGGGTCTGTGATCAGGCTGCAGTGTAAGCTTTTCTCAGGACTCCCTCCCAGGCACGTACAGGTTGGATGGAGACATTCCCTTCCAAGCATCCAAGTTTTCAGCTGTGCGTTCACGGATTTCTGAAGGTTCCTGAGTTACCAACTTCAGACCATCTATGCCTGGGAGGCGTTCAGAAGTGTGTATGTGCACATGTGCCTAAGAATTTCATTGACGGTGTTTGTGCCAGAGCATGAGCGTGCTGAACAGATGTTGGTTTTAATGCTCAGTTCTCATGCCAACAAAAAGTTGTGTAGGAACGGGTTGGTGTACATCCTCTCCCCCACAACGATGCGCTGTTAGCCAAGTAAGTTTAAGCCAGCACAAGCGAGCAGGCAGCAAAACAGGCAAAGCTTAAGTCTCTGCAAGGAGAAGCAAAATTGCCTCAGCAACCTCGGCTGACGGGCTGGCATGTTTGTGAAAACCCTCCTCGGCAATGTGCTGGACTTTGAGCAGGCTTTGCAGAGACAAATTCCATTGCCCCCTGCAATCAGGAGGGCAGTTACCGGAGACAGCTGTGGGGGGAACGGTTTGGATTTCTGCCACTGGTCGCCTGCTTAGAAATGCTACCTCAGCCACTTCTGAGCAGCAGAGGCACGAGGTGCATGTTCTGGTTTCTGGTCAGCAAAGCCTTTGTTAGGAGAGGAAACATCATTTTTTCCTCTTTTGATAGTCTCTAGTCCAGACAGACACTAAACAGCAGATAAAACCATAAATCTTCTGGTGACCTGCCCCAGGGCTGCACCACCCCAGGGACAAGCTTGGCTCCGTCATCTTCGCAGCTCCCCCTGAAGGAGCTGTAAGCTGCTGTGAGGTCCCCCCTCAGCCTCCTCTTCCCCTGACCAAGCCACCCCAGCTCCCTCCACCTCTCCTTCTAGGCCACATGCTACAAATGTTGAGCAAACCAAGCAGAAAAATGCTACACGAGTCCAGAACTTAACACAACCACTCACAGGATCATATCTTCCTCCTTCTCCACTTTGGCGAAAGTGGCAACTTTGTTCTTTAACAAGTATAAGTGACCGGGACCTCCCTGCAAGAGAGAGAGAGACAAATGCAAACCACTTTGCACAGGCCCTGAAGAAACAAACCCTGGATATGTTTCTTGTCCTGCACAGCCATACCCAGAGGTGCCACAAGGGAGCAGAGCAGACACGCCAGGCTGGCACGGCTGCTACAAGCTCCACAGCAGACACTGCAGGCTCTTGCTCAGGAAATATTCACGTATGGGGCGCACGTTGGGGGGGTTGGATTATCCGGTTTTTACTGTTATATGCCCACCTCACTCTAGAAAAGCACAATAATAGACAAAAATCTTCGTTGTGGTGGCTGGAGAGTAATAGGGAAGACAAGAAAGTCCCTTTCATTTGGGGATGCTAGGGGACTTGCCGTGGTAGGCAGACAAGAAGCTGAGCAAAGCAGGGATAAGCAGGCAAGATGTCACTGTAGGAGAACTGGACTTCGGCAGCAGCAGGCATAAAGAGATTGAGCACGGCATCAGGAAGAGCTGCAATCTCCAGGTCAGTGAGCTGCAAACCCTGCTATTTTGCAGCATTAGGCCTGTGGGAAGGAGTTCAAGTTCGGTTACCTTCCTAACTTCTCATTTCAAGGTTCCTTGCACAGCTGCCAGGAAAGTCCAAAGCTGACCACCCCGAGGAACAAGAGACTTGGGAAGGAAATCCCCGGCAAGCCCCAGATGCAGCAGGGCCTAAACCTGTCCCACCCACAGCTCGGCAAGCCTGTCCCCTCTCCCGCATACGCTGGTCTCCAGCTCCGAGCTGTGCCGTCTGCCGCTCCGGTCCACAACACCCACCGCTGTCACTGTCATACTGAAGCTGTATGAAACTATAACCATCACATTGCAAATGCTTGTTCCTTTCTCTGAAATCCTCCTTTTGAGGTCTGCGCTAATGCTGGTTTGCCTGGGTTTCCTTGAAAGCAGCTGAGAAGCAGCCCAGCTCTGGAGTTGGCCACACTAAATCAGATTTTGTTTCCTGCTGTCGCAGCAACTCGAGACTGCTCGTTGTCTGGGGAAATGAGAAGTGAAAGCCGTACACATGCAGTTGCTTTAACAGAACCTGACTTCGGAGTATTGGTTCCTCTATGTAATTTTCCCTGTACAAAAAGACAAATTTGTAACAAACCACCCAAGCGCTTAAAAACTTCCACATACCTGGCAAAATATCAGCATCTTCCAGATTTTGCAGCCTTTCCGATAAATGTTAAGCTTCTTCTCTATTTCCTCTGTTAAAAAACATGTTGGAAAAGATGAACCATGGAGGAAGTTCAACATCAGGATCGAGTGCACCCTCAGCAAGTTTGCAGATGACACCAAGCTGAGCGGTGCAGCTGACCCGCCTGAGGGACAGGATGCCATCCAGAGGGACCTGGACAAGCTTGGGAAGTGGGCCCGTGTGAACCTCATGGGGTTCAACAAGGCCAAGTGCAGGGTCCTGCACCTGGGTCAGGGCAACCCCTGGTATCAGTACAGGCTGGGGGATGAAGGGATGGAGAGCAGCCCTGAGGAGAAGGAGTTGGGGGTACTGGGGGATGAAAAGCTGGCCATGAGCCAGCAATGTGCACCTGCAGCCCAGAAAGCCAAGTGTCTCCTGGGCTGCAGCAAAAGCAGCGTGGGCAGCGGGGCGAGGGAGAGGATTCTGCCCCTCTGCTCTGCTCTGGGGAGACCCCCCTGGAGCCCTGCGTCCAGCTCGGGGGCCCTCAGCACAGGAAGGACATGGAGCTGTTGGAGCGGGGCCAGAGGAGGCCACAAAAATGACCAGAGGGCTGGAACACCTCTCCTGTGAGGAAAGGCTGAGAGAGCTGGGATCGCTCAGCCTGGAGCAGAGAAGGCTGCGGGAAGACCTTACTGCAGCCTTCCAACACTTAAAGGGGGCTTATAAGAAAGATGGGGACAGACGTTTTAGTAGGGCCTGGAGCAATAGGACAAGGGGTGATGGTTTTAAACTAAAAGAAGGTAGATTCAGACTAGATACATAAGGAAAAATTTTTTACGATGAGGGTGGTGAAACACTGGAAGGGGTTGCCCGGAGAGGTGGTAGATGCCCCATCCCTGGAAACATTCAAGGCCAGGCTGGATGGGGCTCTGAGCAACCTGATCTGGTTGAAGCTGTCCCTGCCCATTGCAGGGGGGATGGACTGGATGGCCTTTAAAGGTCCCTTCCATCCCAAAGCATTCTGTGATTCTAAGTTAAAAATCAATGTTATTTCTTCTCACTTTAGTCCTGAAGGCAGGAGGCTGAGCTGTGAGAGGTGCTCAGCACCTACATTCCCACCGATGGCAAAGCAAACCATTTGCTTTCATGCTGTGGAAAGCAGGAAACCGCAGCACATCACCGGGCAGAGAAGGTACGGTGCAGCACCGGCCATCGCTCTGTAGCGATCGCAGCACCGTACCCAGCTGTCCTGACCCTCTGTTAATGCTCCTACTCGCCTACCAGGGTACAATGAGAAGGCATCTTTGCTGCCCTGTGTTTCAGCTTCCCTTTCACAAACTGGGAGCTTGGCATAGAAAATGGGCTACAGAAGTGAAGTTTTATTACTGCAGGACATCCAACAGCAGCGACTGACTGTCGGGTGTCGCTGGGGTGATAAAAACACCTTCATGAGTGGCAGCTGAGGCACAGGGCAGTGGAGTGAGTGTAACATATTGATCAGTTACATTTGCAACAGGCAGGAGTTAAGAAAAGGAGATAACACTCACATACCTAGGATGTCATCAAAGGTGGCATGTTCATGGTCCTGGAAACCAAGAGAGAAGACATATCAAGGTTCACTGTCACTACACCAGCTCCCATGACATTATTATAGTCTCTAATATTGCACACAATCCCATTCCCAGGCAAACATGTGCTCTAAGAGCACAATTATACCAGCTGATGGCTTCTATCACATCACAGTGATTACCACCCTAAAACACGTCTCAGCAAAGAAGCTGATGGCTGAATGGTCCATGAAGACCAAGTCCATCCAAAGGCTTGAAGATGAATCCTGCAGACAAGTCCAAAGCACATCCCCATCAGATGTAGTCAGCATCAGCAATGCTTATTTGCCTCTTGGCCCATGTTTTGTAGCCAGCCTCTGGCTTTACACACGTCCAAGCTGGCCAACAAACAGCCACACTCCCGACACATCTGCCTCTGGCATAGCAGGGTCATCAGGACAACCGTACAACTCTCAAAGGAAGAAAGAAGCTGAACCTTTGCCCGCTGCACACGGAGACTGAGTTTTCTGGGCTGTCAGTCCAACCCTTCCCTTTCAAATTAAGTGAATAAAAAGTGTTTAGGAAAAAGAGACCCATGCCTCCCTGCTGGTGTTTCAGACACCTGCGCAGGCAGGACTCCTAGTGAAAAATCAAGGTTAAATTCATGACTGACCGGGATGCGCCACTGTACACAAGGGGATGAGGTTCACTGCCTGGCTGTGCCTGCGTAGTCTGGCAGCCCATATGTGCAATTTTTACTCCACCTTACTCTTCCGCTTAGACCCGAGTCCCCAGAAAGCTACCCCAGACCCCAAATCTGGGTTCAGCACACCCCCAGCCCTTTCCTGACAGCTTTTCCAAATCACATCATTGTTTCAGAATCACCATAACAGGAACCAGGGATAGGGACAAAAAAAAAAAAAAATTCTCTGTATGAAGCCTGCTCCCACACATCCAGACATAGCAGAAGTGATATACTCACGTAGAGAATGGGGATGATAGAGGGATCGTCCCTGCGGATAATTGTCGGGACATACTCTGCTTTGGGCACCTTGGAAGAAATGAGCTGGAAGGGGAAAAAAAGAAGTGCGACAGCATGAGGAGAAGCCAGCAGAGTCTGGACAGAAGCACAAAAGCCATGATAGTTACTCTCAGGTGGTACCCAAACTAGCAGCTAATCCACCCTGTCTGCATCCCTGTGGAAGGTCCTCCAAGCCTTTGGTCCACTACAGAGCACCCCCAGGCCTGCCCAGTACCCCCATGTGTCACAGCCTCCTCGACCCCCAACAAACGAGCACGCAGCTCTGCCCACAAGGCAGGACTGACTCCGAGATGACAGTCTGTAAAGGGGAGACCTGTGTGCACAGAGGATGAAGCAGCTTATGCGTCCCCACGAATGGCTGTATCCCAGTAAAGACCACTTCCGTACAGCCTTCCTCTGTGTAAGGCTCTGTGCTTCTGGCCGTAGAGGATTGTTCAAACTGGCAGGCGTAGCTGGCTGGCGGTGGGACGGCTGCGTGCCTGAACAGGAACCAGCCAAGGGATGAAATGGCATCAGGCACAGGTAGGCACAGAGCCGTAGGGTGTCAGGGAGATGCAGGGTGCCTGGCAACCCCGGCTGAAGCTTCAGCTGGCTCCATCAGCACGACAGCCTGAGAGGATGGGCCTGCCATCAGCACAAGCCAAAGGGCTATGAGAACACGGGCAATTCGACTGTGCTGTAATTTCAGGCACCTCTGTTTGTCCCTGTGGGAGTGGAGCAGGCAGCAGTGCCGGTGGGCTGGTCAGCGCAGCCTGGGTTCCAGCTTGGGCTGGCTCCAAAGCCCTACCTCCGGGCAGGCAACAAATCACTGCTTTGGCCACACGGGAGTTAATGTAAAGTTTCTGAAGAGGCACAATATACAGAGTCCAGGGATGGACAATCATCATGTACACCACCTGCAGAGACACACTGGAGGTGTCAAGGGCTGAACAAACCCAAGTGTTGGGTTCCTAGGGCTGGGGTCTCACCTGGTCACTTTGCCCTGAGGGTGCTTTAGCGCTGAGTCTGCACAGACAGCCCGGGAACACATGTAAAAGCAGACTGCCTCCATGTCCTTCACTCTTCCCAAGTCTTAGCAGGACCCATTCAAACACAGTACTGCTGTGCTGGACTGGCAGTGCTGCCCTCAGAACAAGCTGGAAGCTTGAGACCCCATTTTGTCCGAGTATTTCTGCATGTGGCCAAAGAAGGGATGCGTCAGAACCTGGTCCTGTCTTCCAAACCCCGCAGGGCAGAGCAGGGGGGAGCCCAGGGGGAAGCCTAGCATCAAGGAATGATAAAAGAGCAGAAAGCATCTCAAGGGATGACATACAGCTCCAAAGCAAATCAGGCAAATAATAACAGGAGGGAGGGACTGCTGGGACCGGGGACTCAGGTCTCTATTGCCAGGGTAATCGAGACTCAGGCTAACTCGATTCAGTGTTGGTGACAGTCCTGCTCTGATTTGGGGTTGGACTACAGGTCCTTCCACTTCTAGTTTTCTTCCAACACATTATCCCTGGCAATAACAGATGCTGAATACCATGTCATGTCTTGGCTGATCTCTGAGTGACCCTCATACGCACCTGAAGAGTTGCCTATAGAAAAGACTTGCCTCTTCCCAGGAAGACCCTAAGCTTAGCAGCTCTGAAAGGACAGACAGAGCCCGAGCAGATACAGGTAGCTGAGTTGGAAACACTCACCATTATTTTTGGTGGAATAAAGTCTTCTCCGTCACATGCCATGGCTTCAAGTTCCTTTTCTGCTTCCCAGTTCAAGTCAAAGTCACCATCCAAAGTGCCGCAGGAATCCTGAAGATCATGGCCTGCCAGAACACAGTGTGCGTTACAAGGGCAGAACAGTTTGCCTGCCCCACTCGATCCTGTCTGGCAGCAACCTCGCAAGAGGTACCACAAGCCATGAGACTTGCGCCCTCCTTTCTTCCACAGAGTGACAAGACACCGCACTTTGGGGCTGGCGTCTCTGAACAGACAAACACTTAACGAATGAAGAGTGCACACACAGAGCCCGATACCACATATCACGGAACTTCATCACTCTCACCGTCACCAGGTTTAGCTTTCAAATGCTAATTCACAACAGTCACCCTGTCATGTCAGAAATGGAGAAGGAGACAGAACGCACACAGACTCTCTACACTTTAACATTGCCAAGCTGATGAGCAAAAGTCCAAAGACTTCAAAGCTGGTCTCCTTGTAATAATTACTGCTCTGAATACATCTTCTGAGTGATTATAAAGAAACTCTGCCTTGTTGGTCAAACTGATCCTGGCAGAGAAGTCCCAGAGCATGAGGACAGCCGTAGCAAACACAGTAGTATTGCAACAGTATACTTGAATTTGCTCTCCAAATTGACCTTACCTGTTGGCCTTCAATGCCTCCTGGGGAAAAAAATATCTGGAAGGAATATAATTGACCATTAAAGGTTAAAAATAGAGATGGTTCCCTGAAGCCAGGGACTGAGGAGAGAGAACCGAGATGCCTCTATTTGTGCCTTTTGGGATGTCCGAGTGTCACTGGGCAGTGCCTGGAGCCTGTCTGAACCATGTCTTTTCCATTCGCCTCTGAGTTAGCTGAGGGAGCAGGGAGGAATCAGACTGCAAAGGAACAATCGGGTCATGTTTTGAACCTGGTCTTTCATACATCTCCCCCTACAAGCTGGTAGGGTGTCTTCTACAGCTAGGAGGGCTGGATCTCATACTTACCTGGTAGGCGAGTTCATTTCATTACTGAAATTCATTTACAATACAACCCATTTCAACATGGGCAAACTCATATCCACCAAGTCCCTTGCCTACAGGATTTCAATAAAATCTGGGTAAAACAGTCGTTCCCTTTATAAAAAGACAGTGGGAAGATGCTGACATTTCCTCCTGTAAATTAACACAACAGCATCTCAGTCCCCACAAGCAGAACATCACAGCATTACTGGGGATTCCCAGAGGAATTCCTGGCAGCCCAAACGAAGATCAGATTGCCCCAAGCTATCATCTGTGCAGCCAGCATGGCCAGGAAATCAAAGCTACATCTCATGGAGCGCTGCAGCTGTGCTCTTGAGCTATTCTAGCCTAGGAAGGGCTCAGAAGGGGCTCTTGCACGGGAAGCCAGGCAGGTTAGCCCCGCTGTGGTGAATGTAGCCTTGGACCGGTGTGCTTCCACGGAGGTTGTTTTGGTCCCAAGCGAATAAGGGATGATAGGAACAGAGGGCTGTAAGAGAGCGGTACCACTGAGTATCCTTTGGCAACTGCACAATAACATGAGCTTAGATGCGTTGTGCTCTACAAATAAATATCGGTACACACAGATGAACAGGTGCCTATACCGGGAGTGGTATTTGCTCAGGTCTCATGAAACTAAAAGGATCACAGATGGGACAAAAGGGGACAGAGGAGTTACTCCAGTGGGACTCCAGTCAGCACCTCAGCTGGAGGGTTTGGCCACAGGAGGAAGCTCAAAGGACTCAGAACTCACTTTCTCGAGAGTCATGGAAGGAATCAGCTTTGATGGGAGTCGGGTCACTCCAGGACCTGCTGAAGCTCCTCTCACGCCGTTCGGCAAATGCTAGGATAAAACCAAAGCACGACATTAACAGACTCCAAAGCCACTTCTGTTGCTGCCAGCAAAACAAAACATCCAGTAGATTTCCACCAAAGCTACACATCACGGACTCCCCCGTGCTTGTTCTTCCACTTGCCAAATGTGAGTCCTTTCCACACAGCAAACAAGGGTCTATCTTCTAGACAGCAGAAGACAAAGTGCCCACTTTCTGAGCAGGACCATTATGGGGGTAACACAGAAAAAGGAGGACACTTGATGGTCTCTCCTTAAATGCACACTGCTCAAACCTCAATTTAATCAAAGCTAATCCAGTGTCCCATTGTAAATGCTCTGACTCAAAGGCCTCATGGGAAGATGTACTCAGCAGCTAATGACACACACGACCAGAAGAAGGCAGTAGTTCTCCAGTCAGTTCTCCCCTCACATCTGTTTTGGGCAGGCACTCTCTTCATGTCCTAGTGACATCCCAGGCACAGCTGGACCAAACAGAGGGGGGCCTCTGGAAAGCTCATGCTTTCTACATTTTGTTCCAAAAGAAGAAATCCTTCAGTTTTTGCTTGCCTGCACTCTTGTGAGCACACACCCCCGCTTTTTTTTTTTTTTTTTTCTCCAAGGGGCATTATATTGTTTGTACTGGCATTTCCCAAGCGGAATCCAGGGAGCTTGGCCCAGCTGGCTGCACTGCAGGCAAATTCCTGGGAGCTGCCAACCACAATGTCTAACTTGGCAAGCCCACGAGAGCGCCATTACGCCTAGATTAACAGCCACTTATAGCCACTAATACCTATTTCTGGTAGCAGACAAAGCAAGTTTGCTGCAGTGTATCTAGTAACAGCATCTCATGTCAGCGGCACAGGAATTCACTGCAGATCGGCATTACAAGAGCTGAGAAGCAACCTGTCCTCTGCTGCAGCGTGTCCAAGTGTGGGTGTCCGAGGAGACAAATCACACAGGAAGTTCTTCAGGTGATCTCCATCCTCAGCTTTCATTTAAAACCAGGCGTTTAGCTATTGTGAACACGAAGAAAGCTTTGAAAACATGACCCGAGAGTTACCAAGGCAGAGAGGCATGCCTGAACTTCCAGACAGCTCTAGGGGGAGGTGAGCCCTGTTCATTTCAGGCAGTGCTAACTCAGATGCCAATAAAGACACTTGAAAGGGCAATGCTGTTTTGCTGTTCACTTCCCACAGCATATGAGAAAGGAGAGGAAAGAATGCAAATTAAACTCAGCAATGCTTTGCTGTAGGCAGTCTGTACGTGATGCCTGGCCAGGGGGTGGGAAGAACAAGCTGTTTCCGCTTCTGGAGCAATCCTCATCTCTCGGGAGCTGGTTACACCATTCTCAGCCCATTTCACTGCGATAAAGGAGTTGCCCCAACCAAGTTACGGAGGAGTGTTGCCTTCCTCAGGGAAAGGGAACTGCCGTTTCCCAGGCCTAAGAGGTGACTTCTTCCCCAGTGAGGCAAAACACTCCTTTATTTCCCCCTTGCTCCAATCTCTTCCCTGTTCCTCTTCTTTCTCCCTTCCACCGTCCTCTCAGCTCCCACTGGACAACTTTCCACCAGGTCCTGCTGCGGAGATGGCGGTGGGACAGAAGAGGAGAAAAGAGAAAGCCGCCAGTCCGCGCGGCACATGAAGCGCCGACTGTCCCCAGGAGCCACAGCTGGTCCGCAGCTTCGGTAAGAGGCCAGGCAGCCCTCAGCAGCTCTGCTGAACTCTCAGCTCTGGTTCTGCTCACAAGCGTCTACACTGGTGATCACCAAAAACCACAGGCACTTGGGACAAGGATGCTGCAGCTCTCCTTCCACTCCTTGCACCGAGGCCACAGAGATCTCCCATGGCCAAGGCAGAGGGTCCTCAGAAATAGCTTACAGGCTGCTTGCAGACATCCGCGTGTCCTGGAGACTTGCAACAACCTGGCCTTCTTTTTTGTAGGGTAAAATGGCATGAGTAGGTCAAATCCTTTTTCCGGCCCAATGCTAGGTCCTTTCTACCTGCATCTGTGCACAACGTAGGGCTCCCCGTGTCCCACCAGCACAAACCCCAGCTCCTTACAGACACACCTTACAGGTGCTCACTTACTTTGTGCTTTAACCCTTCGGCTCCCCACCATGCGGAGGTGCTTCCGAAAATTCCTGAAAGAAAGGCCAAACAAAACCTCTGAGAAAGGCAATAAGAAGCCATACCTGGGCCCAGCAGAACTGAAAAAAATGGGAGGAAAAAAAAATAAAATTGGGAAGACAGCATATTTCCTTCTGAGCCTTCAAAAGCTGGAGACCAGGTTCCCAGCCTGCACTTACTCAGTGCTGGGGACAGTTATGTTCGTCAAGTGTGGCTGTTTCTTCTGAACTCCCTGGGCTGGTGGTACAGGGCAAGCGGGGTCCTACACAGCAGTCCCCTTCTCATGGTCTGCTTTCGCTTTCCTACGACTCAGGCACCTGTGCTGTAACTTTGCTGAAGGCTGCCACTGCCCATGCTGGCAATGCTCCCTCTTCTCCTGGTAAGCAGCAGTAACTGCTCCCCTCTCTCCTTTCTTCCACACATGCTTCAGCGGGGAAGCGGGGTGCCCAAGCTCTGCCCTGCTAGGCAGCGTGCACACAGCTCATGGCTGTGCTCCTTCCCAAACACAGTCACGGCAGCTGCTAAAATCCCACCTGTGCTGTTAGCAACCATGCAGCCCATACTGCTCTCCAGGGCAAAGACCTGGGAAAGACTGAAGCCGCTTCTTCCTTCTCGGATAGCGCTGTTCAGCAAGGCTGACTGTCCTCGTGGGCCTGCTCTCCTGCTCATGCTACCTGCCTAACCACCTGCGTTCCTGCCCAGGACTCACAGGCAGAGTGCAGCGGGGCTGCAGAGCACACAGCTCCGGAGGAAAGCCCACCAGAGGGTAAGCTTTGGGGAGCAGTTATACCCCATAGTCAGGTCTGCATAAAACAGACCGTCCTGGCCACTCCTGAGAGACCATGGCAAAGGGACTCTTCGTCCAGCCCCTCCGAGTGCAAGGGACCTGTTTCCCTTAGTTTCTCATCACTCACCTAGACAGGAACCAAACAGGACAGGAACCAAACAGGACACCAGAAGAGACACAGGGAAGAAGCAGCAGGTGGACTAGCAAGAAAAGTCTCACTCCTCTGTAAACTCTACCTAGGGTGACTTCACCCTGCCCTGCAGCCCCCATGGCCCCCACGGATGTCAGTGAGCCCAGCAGCCTGCACGGAGAGGGGGAGCCTTCCTAGATTCCCTCCTGCCCCACCAACATACACTGCAGACATCAAGCAACAGAGACCACTTCTGGCGAAAGAGGTAAAATGACAAGTCATCTGGCTCACACACAAGTTAGTGGGATGAGTAAGGACATGTTACAACCATGCAGATGCTTTAGCAACCTAATTGGACTAGAAGACACTTCCAGCACCAACATCAAGTTGTTCAGAGCAAGTCAGAGACGCCTACTGCGATACAGAGACACCAACCCCAACACAGCCCGCGTGGGAGGGAGAGCACTTAACCCACGCCACCTTCTGCACTGTCCCCCACTTTGGCCTTGGATCTCACGTTGTCATCAGGATCCAAATTCAGCAACTCAAGAAGGAAAACTAGCAGCTGGGTAGTGAAGCTGGGAGCAACATTATTCCATGACAAATTTCCATCTGTGCTTGGGCTATTAATGTTCTTTTACAAAGCTTTATTTTAGCTCTACTTGGGTCCGTGAAGATTCACTGCTGTGAATCAGACAACTGCCCCCCCTTCGACAAGTAACTAAAATAATTTGCCTCGCTAACACGTGCGGGACCGGCCCTATGCACAAAGCCTTCTGGGGCGTTTGATGACGATAATGTGGGCTGTCTTACTGCGCATTCGATTCAAATCCAAATAAATACAATATTTTAAGGGAACCAGGGTCATTCTTTACACAGAAAGGTCTTAGACACACGTTGTAACTCATCAGAATGAAAACCTTTATGGTCCATTGTGAGACCAAGATCACACCAGACGCTGAGCACCAATGGTAATTGCCAAGGCCACGGTTACATCCTTTGGGCTTTCGGCACTTTGGAGTAAAATCCATTTTTCTGTTAAAGAGTTGTCCTCTCCACAGAGGAGCTTCTTCAGACCCTGGGGGAAGGGAGGTAAAGCAGTCTTTGCCACAGAAGAGTGATACTCCCAGCTGCCTAGAGAGCTCGGTCTCTCCTGTGAGCACAGGTTGAGGGCAGCTGTCTAGACACATCTCCTAAATGCTGCTGAGAGCAGCACCAGGGAGAATCCAGCTGCTCGAGGTCAGCCATCACACTAAATGCTTGGAGAATGGGATGAAGGCCTTTTTTCCCCCCGCCTCAGCTCTTCTAGAAAGAAAGCCCTTTGGAAAGGAGGTGCGAGCCTGGGACAGGGCATCCTGTGGCCATCTAGATCCTTCTGAGGGCTTTTTGCAGCTGTATTGGTCCTCAGGCCCCTCTGTGCTTGCATGTGAGCACAAAAGGACCGGCACAGCACCCCGGGGGAGCCGCAATCTGCTCTGTGAGCAGGGGGGCTACGTAAACCCGCCCAGCCTTCCTGCCTGGCTCCTGCAATTGCACCCAGAAAACTCAATGTTATTTGATCACTAGCAAGATCTCTTCAGCCATCAAAATTCAACAAGCATCCCTCAAGTTACAGTGATAAAATCTCCTTGTTACTCCCTTTCCTGAGCAGTCCTCCTCCGGACAGGCTCCAGCTTGCCACGCAGCCCGCATGACCCTATGCCGCCTCCATGGTATCCATCCCAGCCAAAGGGTCTCCAAGACACAGCGGCCCCACATCGCACGCTCTGCAGCTCTGCCTGCAGCGGTTCATTCACACGCTGCAGAGAAGCCTTTTCATTACCCGAACAGAGGTCAACGACAGAATTACTGATGTACATCAGCGCTCTGCAAAACTCCCAACAGCACCTCTGACGTTCTCCTCCTCAGCTCCTCCTTGCAGCAGTCACAAGGTTCAGCAAACCACCGAGCATCGCTCACCCTCGAGGCAACATCTATTGCGTGCCGTGCCACGCAAACCAGCCTCCCTGGGCACCGGACATGCAGGGCCAAGCACTGCGGGGCTGTGCAGTAACAACTGAACTGTCGAAACACCTGAGGCCATGAAGCGCTGCCCAACAAGCATCCGAAACCACGGTGGGGCTGGGGTCCTCCTCGCTCCCTGGGGAAGAGCGCTGAACACTGTCAGGCAATCCTTACAGCTGGCCAGGGTCTGCCTGCATGGCCCAGCCCAAAGCCCATCGTTGCTATCCTATCGCCTCTTTATCACGAGATAAATGCAGATGGGCTCCCAGTGTACAATCCTGCCTAGACCTTCAGTGTCCGCAGGAGGTGAAGGGACATGCAGACCACTCAACACAAGGATGACATGACTCTGTCCTCTATCCTGACTACACAGCATCACCAAGGCATACAACTCCTACTCCTACATTTGCAAGCCATGGGAACAAGCCATTTTCTAACAAGGACTCGCCTCTGTCTAAAAAATTCTGAGAAATCTCTTTCTTTTTAAAGATACACTGTCTATTTATTTACTGCATCTTTAGGTTTGATTCTTATTTCTCTTCGTTATTGGTGGAAAAACCACCACCCTTAAGATGCTAAAGAAAAGAAAAAAAAAAAAAAATCTTTCTGGCAATTTCCCAGTTAAGAAACCCTGATGTTTTTCTCCCACTTTGTTTTGAATAGTGCTGGAGTGATCATGGCAGTTTTTAACCAATCACACAAATGCTGTGTTACCCTTCTCAGTAGGCTGCCAAAATACACGAGCTTTGGCACATTTAAAAAACCAGAACAGTTCTGATTAAAACAGTGGCTAAGTGATGTGCCCTGTGAAGCCAGCAGAGGGAAACCAGGACCCTTCTGTAATACCTGGACAAGGAATCCATCCCCATCCCCTTTTCTTTCCTTTCTGTTCTTTAAAAAAAGATTAACAAAATAGATTTCTGCTCACTAGAGATGTTAATTTTGCCTAGGTCTCAGATTTCTGAGGCGCACTTGTGGATGCAGCAACAGCACATACAAGTATTGAGCTAACCTCAAACAAATTCCAAATATTTGGGAGAGGGCTGGGGAAATTGCATCTTTAATTTTTTTCATATATATTTTTCTGGCTGAGACACAGATCCTTTATATTCTATTTGGAAGCTTAAAAGAAGCTTGACAGTGTTCCTTTAAGAAGATGGAGATCAGCTATCTTGAGCACTGCAGCATCATTCACCTCCACATTTCCAACACAGCCACCTCTAGTGTCCCTACGAACAGCAACACAGACAGGGACAACCACGTTCAACGTCATCAAGCGTCACTAATGACACCCGAAGGGCCCATGCAACACCAGGCAAGGTTACGGCTATGGGAGAAAACGGGCCCTACCTCTGTATAACAGCTGCAGAATCATTCTCTCGTTTCCGTCTCTTCCTCTCTGCGTAGCCCCTGAACGCCCTGGGAAACCATTTTCAGCCATTAACCAACTACACAGCTTTGAACTGGAGAGGACACGAAACACAGACAGGAAAGCTCTCACCAGACAACAGAGAGACATTAGGCTGGTCAAGGAAGACAGCCAGCCCTTGCAGGACTGCGTGCGAGTCAGGGGCCAGGCAAAAGACTCACCAAACCAAAGGTCCTCACTCTCTAGGGCAGGTGGCTGGATAAGCTGTTGTTCCTAAAGCAAACATAAGAGTGGCCAGAGCACGGCCCAAAGAATGGGGGTGAGCAGCCATCATCCCTGCTACGGAGGAACGGACCTAGGAGACTGCAGACACAAAACCTCTGTACACCAGGATCAAGAGGGACAAAAGCATGCTAGCAACTGTAGTCTCCATTTCAAAGATGAGGATGGTTGCGCTGTGATCCATGTAGGCCTACCAGGTGCAGCCATCTAACCTCTTCCCAGCTGACTAACAGCCCTAGCATAGGGAAAGCACGAGGGAATATGATGGACAGGAGAAGAGAGGAGAGTTTATCCAGGACACCAACAGACAAGGAAATAAAAAAAATGAAGATTATACTTACGAGATGCTAGAGATTCCAGGAGACGCAGGGAAAAAGAAAGAGAAGAGGAGTTCATTAGTGCTCAGCCCCGGCCAGCGTTCTGAGGGACTTCTCACTCCAGAAGGAATATTTCTTGTTAGGTGGAAGGAAATTGCTTTTTAAATTAAACATTTCTCAGTGGTGAGACTCCTACTTGACCAACCTAAATCCTCTCTGGGGCAGTGTTGGCATGTGGCTTGGATGCAAATTAAGCTCTGCGTAGGCCCAGAGAACATGCAGACGTACAACTGACAGCTGAACGTGGCCTGTCAGGCTACAGCAGGAGCTCAGCATCACGGGCTTTGGGAGCAGGGAGACCTTCTCCCACAGCGACAAAGACTTGTGAAGTCAGCTCACGCTGTCTGGTCTATGAAGGAAGCAAGCACGGTGGGCTGAAAGCGCTAGAGCAGAGGCCAGGAGGCCAGGGGCACCCGGAGGAGCCATTCCAAACAGCTTAGGGAAGTACCCTGAACTTTTGGAGATGTTTCTGTGCCATTTTGAGAGGCAGCACAGAATCTCCAGAAACGTTAACCAGAGAGCTACGTTAACCAAGGGAGCTGTGCTCCTCAAGGGTTCCCTTAGGGCACCATTCCCCAAACCAATCTCACTTTGGCCTCCAACAGCTCCAAGCCTTGTAAGCCCTGCCATGGGCCACCATCCTGCAACAAACCTCGTGCACAGCAAAGATGACTTCAGATAGCAAAGGATGTGCCTGAAGGCAAAGGAAACTGATTTTGTGCATCATTTGGTGTGCCAGATCAGAACTGTAAAATACCATTCACGGTTACCAGCCAACATTTCTAAGGAGCAAAGCATCCGTCAAATTGCCCTCGACTGCCCACAGGCCCTGCCAGCCTGGTGCCCAGGAGTGTTAACCAGCTGGGGTGCCACCAGACTTAATCCCTGAAGAGGAGGCTGAGGGACACAGAGGTCAGGTAAGAGAAGCAGCGCTAGGACAATACAGAGAGAGCAGAAGCCCACGGAGACTCCTCACTCCCACCGTCGGGGTGGGATTAGCACCCCACCACTATGCATCAGATCCTGCAGACTGGCACTGGGCAAGTGCCACCCCCCCCCATGCTGGGAGGGTGGGTCACACCTCCAGCTGAGCTGGTGGGGAAGGGCATGAAGATAAGCGTTTTATCTGGGGATGCAGATCCCTTCCAATATCTCAGCAGCCACCCCTCTCCCCAACACCGGATCCAGCCCTCCCTGCATCAGTCCTTACAGGTCTGATCCAGCCCGGGCTATCCCAACATCAACAATCAGCCTCTTTTTGGGATTTGGGAAGGGAAAGGTACGGGAAAGAAGAAATGGCAGAGAAACAGATTACAAAAAGGAAACCAGAGTAGACAAGGAGAAATAAAGAGAGCAGCAGAGCTGAAGGTGACACAGACATTGGAAGAAGGACACAGGAAAAAGGTGACGAGGCTGGAGAAGGCCTTAGAAGGCAGAACAGTATCTCATTTCCCTCATTGCTTGCCTTGGTTTTCCAGCCAGGTAGGAAATACTTGAAACCAGGAAGACGGTATTTCCCGACAAGCTGGGTACAACCTGGAAATGAGGCTTCCCTTATTCTCTTCAGTCCTTTGAGACCTGCCTCCTCCCAGCGCACAGCAACCGGGGGGACCAAAACCTGCATGGAGCGTGGAGGGAGAGGCTGTTCCTAACTCCAATCTGTTCACACTTTGCAGAGATTTTACTGACACCTTCAAATGACCAGACCAGCGCAGAAGCTGTAGGGCTATATCTCATCCTAGAGAGATGCACTCTTCTGGAGTGACGGATGCATGGCAAGCCTGGAATAATGTTCCCTCGGGGCAGTGGCTGCAGCAGAAGCGAGTGGTGGAGGGTCTCAGCTGGTGCTCCCACAGGACCCTTGCTCTGCAGAGGCAGCCAGGGACCAGGCACAGTGTCACAGAGAAAATAAGGGAAGCAGAGAAGAGCCGGGTAGCCCACGGAATTAAAGAAGGTAAAACCAAACAAGCGGGAGTAGTAGGAAAGAGAACTAGAAAGTGCAAAAAAGAAATTAATGAGAAACAAGGTGCTCTCTCTCTCTCACCCCTGGACTGAGGTGCCAAACATACAACTCAATTGCTCCAGGCTCTCAGATACAGCTTTGAGTGGGCTGCGAACTTTAAGATACACAATAAAAGCTACAGCAGTAGTTTCACTTACGCTTGCATAGTTGTAGTAGCAGTTTGAAAACTGAAGAGGTTCTCTTTTGGGAACCAGGTTCGTATGGGGACATCATCTGGAAGAGAGAGAGCAAAACCTGAGAATCCAGCGGGCAGGGACATCGTCAGACAGCCAGACTTGCCAAGCTCTTTCTCTCAGTACTTTTCTTCAGCATCCTGCCCTGTACTAAACAGGAGAGTCTCATCCTCCTCATATATATGCACACTACCACCGAGTGTTTTGCAAATTTGTGCTAAGCCTGTTTATCAGGCTACTAAATGAAGAATGAAAGCTCTATCCTAAGCGTGGAAGATCAGAATAATCCAGAAATTACAGAAGAGACATTTGAACAAGAAAAAAAAAAAAAAACAAAAACGGGGAAAGAAACATTTTTCATGAAAAGCATTTTCCAGCCTCTGCCTTTTCCTTAGTATCATTAGTCTGAAATGTCCCGTTCATCCGGTTCTTTTTCTACCATTGAAGTTTCAATAAACCCTTCACACACCTGCCCCTGATGACCTGGCCTTCATGAGTTTTTCTGGTTTTAGAAGTCAAACTGCACATCAGCTATACAGTCTGCAGAAAACTTTTTGCTTATTTGGTCCCTGACGTTTGTAAACTGCCCTGCCTGAACCAACTGCAGATTATTTCCTAATTCCGTTGCATTAGGACACTGCATCATTTTCACGTAATGACCACTAAGACAAAAAGTAGGCAGCAAATTCAGTCACTAATTACGTGTGTGGGATGGTGGTGACCAGAAGGAGGAACCTGACCAAGAAGTGGCTCCTGCTGAGAACTCTCGGGCTGAAGTCGGTCAGGCAGGGAATCAGAAGCGCATTAAAATCCACTGACACAAGACGTGCAAGATCGCGGTGGACTGGATCCCTGGGATTTGGGGCTACCTGATTTTTCATCTTGCTTCACTCCCAGCTTGTGGCTTCCTTGCTTAATGCCTTGCCACATGTTGCTGATCGTGTGTCTTCCTTCACTCATTCAAGTTTTAAGATCATTAGCAACTACAGTATCTTAGTCATTAATATTCTGGCATTGTCAAGAGTATTTTTTTTATTCACTTTCATTGGCCAAAACCCAATCAAATGCTGCATGCGTACTGCAGACATAATTACTACAGACCAGATATCTTACCAAATGTTTTGTACAGATCATCATCTACTACAGACTGATCCTGCTGTTCCCTGAAAGTACAAAAAGTGGCTGCAATTACAGACGCAAAAAATGCTAAAAGCAACTGGGGAGGCTTCCTTTGAAGTGAAGCTTCCAAGAAATCATATAGAAAGCTGTAACAGACACTCCTTCTCAGCTAACAGTTTATGTCAAGCCTTGTATAAAGGCACCCTAAGGAAATATGTATGTCAAATGAAAACTGCATTCTAGTATGCTAAATACTTATTATGAAGTTCCTATGTCTGCTCTCCTCCAAAAAACAGATAGAGAAGAAATGCAAAACAGCTCAGACTGTAAATGAATGACTTGTTTGAAGTCTCAAACCCACAAAAGTGGTGAAGGAGGAGAAGTTGTACAAATTCCTTTTTAGCCAACAATTCTGCACAGACTTCTCAGGGACTACGCATCTCAAAGGACTGACAATCTCTTAATGTATTTTACAGCTTTTAAGCCACTAGCTTTGATTCAAAGCAGAGCTTATGAACAGCTAATATCCTTATGAGGCTTTGCCTGGACAATCACTGGAAGCCTCCCCTCCTTTTCTGATAGACAGGAGTCAACATAGGAAAGATATCACACCCCAACACACAGCACTCAATGGAGAATAAAGGATTTGTGGCCCTTCAGAGGCACCTCTTTACCAGCCAGAGGTAGAATAGTAGCAGAGAAGCACACAGCTGGCAACTAGGGAGCACTGCTCAGCTCCAGAGCTCATCCAGCTAATTAAAATTCAGATTATGAGTATGGCTCTTTTGCTTCCAGGAGCAGGTAGCACGCTCAGTTTTGGCCAGGCAGAGCATCTTGTTCTCCTTTCTTGTTACCGTCAACAGTGATGAAATAGTCAAGGAACCATGGGCCTGGGTAAGACCGGAGGAACACCACCACCACGTTCAGCATCTCCAGCCACTTGCCAGGCTGCATGAAAATCTCAGCTCCTCTGTCCATGAGTGGATGTGTTTGTATAAGATGCTGGGAGCAGCACAGGAGATGACAGCTTGTGCTTCTCTGGAACGGTGATAGGCATCATAAACTCAGCATAAAAATCCATATTAAATTATGCCAATCTGGCCTAACTGCCATAAGTGTTGGTTTGCTGCAATAACATGCCATGTAAATTCAAACAGAGAAAGCAGCACTGTGAAGTGAACCTCTGGGGAAATCAGTCTGTCTCTCTCGCCTCCGTTCATCTCTGCTCTGTCCTCTCTGCTAGCCATGCATGAAGGACACTCCAAGAAATACTTCTTGCAACCTGCGACAGTTGTGCCATTCAGTTCTCGGTTTTCCTCTGAGTAACGATGCTTGGATAGAGAGCGCAAACGAGACCAAGCTGAGAAAACTTTCATTCCGTGATGCCAGTGCCACGATGGGATTTGGTCTCAGAGGCACAGCGCCGCCTGTGCAGCCACACGTGTGCGCAAGCACTCAGAAGCTCGAGACAAGCACCGAGGGCAGCTGGATCTGCTTGTACGAAACATGAAATACTCATGGAGGCATCTGCAGGATCAGCGCTCTCAACTCTCTTCCCATTTAAGTAAGTATTCCAAGATATTTTCAGAAAGGCAAATCTCCATTTCACATTGATAACTGGCCCTAACAAAAATTGCTGCCTAGTTGAACACATGCGTCGTAAATCCCAAGGCCCAGAAACAGAACATGGCATCTCTCTATAGCATTTGTTAGGACACGTTTTCCAGCAGAGGCGTTTAGCTCCAGCTCTAAGGAGTCCAACTCTTCCATTAGTGATCTGGAGCCTTCCTTTGGTTCTGGGTCAAGTAACCTGCTTCAGTCCCACAGCGCATAGTACAATTTTGATTTGGTCAGGAAAGCTTTCAACATAAATCCATCACCACTAGAACAGGAAATCTTCGCTTTCTTAATTCAGTACGTATCATGAGGCTGCGACCGATTCAACTCAGCACCCTGATCTCCCGAAGACCAAGCCCCTGGGCATGTGATCTCCCTTCCTGAAATGGCTTTTTTTTCCCCCTATCCTCCCACAAACTTTCTGGCAGTGTCATCATATGCAGAGCCATCTTTTAACAGGTAAAACACATTTGATCATAAAACCATAAAAGGTTTCCATATAGGAAAACTCTTCTCACTCCTTTTCTTGCATTTGAGCAATAAAAATAATAGACTCTAAACTTGCAGATGTAGTGTCTGATGTGAAGCCCAAAGATCACAGGGAACAGAGGAACAATGCTTAAAAACTATGCACAGGAGTCAGTGGGACTGTAGGTGTTCTGCACATTTGATAATCAGTTCTTTTTTTATTATTATTCTTCAGTATTAGGCCACGTATTCATTTAGTCACAGAATTTCAAGCATCTAGGCATGAAAATATGGTCCAGAACTGAAACCTTCAGTGATTTTACCTGCAGTAAATATCACTATGATATTTACTAGAAAACTATGAACCCAGGAAAGATGTACAGTTTGATCTCCACAGTCCTTATACTCAATTTGTTTTCAAGGAGAAAACCGTGACCTTTCCTGGCTGGACAATCTGCTCTAAAAGCCTTGATGTGTGTTTAAAAAAAAAAAAAAAAAAAAAAAAAAATCAGACAAATTGGGTCAGACTTTGCCAGCCACGTACAGAGCTGACAGGCAAAGATGGACTGTGTACTAGCTTATAATTCAAAGCACATAGATTGTGACATATATTTGATTAATGGTTAAGTTTTCAAAGATGATCGGGGATTTTTTTAATGTAATTGATTAATTATAAGCCCTATTCCCTGACAACATTGAGCAAATGGATAGCAAGTGGGGAAGAAAGTCCAATATTGCGTTATTTGCTAGTATTTATGGAAAGGCCATGAGGTAGCACTACATGAGGGACCCTGCTGAACTGCTTCCAGCCACGCAGACCAGCATTTTGGGGACACCAAAGTACAGAACACTGTACCTGAGCTGAGCTGAGGCTCCCGCTGAGCACCCTGGCACGGTCACAAAGATTTCACGTGCCTCAGCCCCAGAATGAGGCAGAGGAGAGAGGGTCCTGCTCCAAACTGCCTTCTGGATGAGCATAAATGTAGGTGCTTTGACACAGCCCCTCCTCTCTTGCTCTTCCTTCAACAGAAGGGGAGCCACAGAGATCACCCTCACTAAGCTACATGAAGCTGTCGTGAAAACCACCCAGGTCACCTGCTGCTTACAAGCTAGAAGGAGAGACAGCGGAGCTTGGATGAGCTGGCGTCAAACTGAGCTCAGCTTATTTCAAACTCCTCCTTTGACAATCCCTTTCCGCGAATGCTGGTGCAAGGCACCAGCAAGGTGCCGAAGGGGAAACACTACAGGGCCCAACTCGAGGCACATGGCAACGAAACCTCCATGCTGGGACGAGATGGGTGTCACCCCTCACCCCTGCGTCGACGAGTCCCTTTGTGTCCTTCCAGCACCCAGCACTCACCCTTACTTACCAGACACTCGATCGACACTATACATCCTCTCCAGCCTTTTTCTGTGCCACCCAGTCTCACTGGATTGATGCTGCTCCAGGTCAAAGGAATGCTGGGAAGGGGCAGCCAGCCGGGTGCAGTTTGGGCACTCCTTGGAGCCCTGCCGGCTGCCTGGCCAGCCCTTGCAATGCCTGCTAACGCCGTGAGAGCCGCCAGCACTGTGCACTTGGTGGCCGTGGTGGCATTCCTCTTGGGCAGCCCCTTTCATCACCACCAGTTCCATACTTTCATTCTCGTGGTCCGACAGCATCGGCCTCTCGCCGGAGATCGTGTAGACTCGTGGCTTCGGTCCCTCGCTTGGCATCTTCTCTGCCTGCTCCTCGGAAAAGCTCCTCTCAAACTTTCCGTCTGAGATGACGGAGAGCCTGCGCTTGTTCTGTGCCGCCTGCTGCATCTCAGGGGAGTCCTCCTGTCCAAGGTAGGAGTCTGCTAACAGGTGATCTGAAACAAATGGCACACTTTCCTTAAAACCAAAGCACCCTAGACACCAACAAATTCAGGAGGCTCTTTGCTACTGCTGCAGAAAGGGGAAGGGGGAGAGAGATGTGGTAGGCTCCCCCAGGAACCTTTTCAGATGAACGCGTGCCCATAGCCTTCTAAACCTCCACAGCTGGTACTGAAGTGAGAGACATTTCTCACAAATACGCCCAATATTTTAAGCATGTGTAGCCACCAAACAAGGCTAGAAGCAAATGCAGGTCTCAATGCACAGCCTGAAAATGCTTAAGTGCCAAACAACCCTTTTTCAGCTGCACAGTCCTGTCTGCTTCAGCGGGTTTAGCCACGCAAGGGCTGTTGAGCTGGTGAAAGTTTGCAGGACAAGGACCAGCACCAACTTCTCTAAGAAGTGACAAACTCTGAGTGTTTTGAAGTTATTATTTTTTAGAACTAAGGGGCAAACCACCAGGGTTTGTTTTTTTCCCCCCTGATTTTCTGCCAGTTGGTTTGACATGAAAGAAATGCAAAAACATTTCAGCCGACAGCTGCAACGCAGCGTCCCGGTCTCTGCAGCACCCCTGGTTAGCAGGCCTCATTGGGTGTGCAGATGGCGACAGCACAGCCTGCGGAAGCCGTCCTGAAGGAAAATGCAGCCGCTCCCTTTGTAGGGTAGGAAGATCGAAAGGAGAGAGGCCCATGAGTGCAACTATCTTTGGAGCCCACACACTGGATGAAGTGCCAGGAAATCTCAGCATTTCCATGGCAATTCCATGCATGAACCCAACAGTAGCTCCCACCCACCTGCTAATCCTTTTTTCAAGTGGCTGTTAATTACCTCTTACACTTCCCTTCAGATGGGAAGCAGCTAGAGGACTGTTAAAAAGGCTCAGCAGGGAATGCATTATTCATGTGACTACTACCCCAGAAAAAATAAAATTGTTAGTGTCCAGCACAGACAGCAGCACTTTAAACAGACGCAGAAAGCAAACCCAAGCCTTTACTTCACTAGCTATTTAATGAACATCTTTCCTTTAGCTGCTGAGCCATGGCCTGGAAGAACTCGGCAACAATCTGAGGCCTGGCAACCTTGTAGCTGGCCATGAAGAGATGAAGGAGGAAGAGACCTCTCTCAGGACAAGTCTGATGTGTGTGTATGCAACACGGACCTTTCTCTGCTGCCACATTCTGCCTCCCATGAAGTGCTCTTGTGCCCCTCAGAAAAGAGCCTTCCCAAGCTGAGGACGTACACTTTCAGCTTTTGAATCTGAAGCCCATCCTGGATTGTGCTGACATTGACAAGTGCCTCTGCCCCTGCTCTGTTTGCAGCCGAGACTGAACTCAATTTAGCTGGTACTGGTACAGTGTGTCACCCTTATCTCATTTTTCTCCTTGAGATACAACTTTCCCCAGCACCACTAGGAGGTAAATACGCCTCTGGCCACTCGGCTCAAGCAGCAACTGTCAGGACCGTTCAGGCTGACACAAGTCAGGTTCTTTTCGCTTGTCTCCTAGTGGGACCTCACAGACTCCAAATACTGTAGCTGGCAGCTGGACGACTCCTTGAGCTGACCAGGAGAAGGAGCCTGGAGGAGTCCTAAAGAGCGAGCTATGCCTCTTGAACCTACAGCTGATGCCGTCTTTCCAGACTTCACATGAAGTCCAAAACGCATGCCTAGGTGTAGTGAGGAGTCATGCAGCTCACCGATATTGTCCCAGTAAAAACGAAAGGCAGGTAGTGGTCTATTTCACCCATGGTCTCCTGCACAGACACAGCATGGACATCTGCACCTCCCTCCAGAAGGAGAGCCTGATGGACTACAAGGGCCATCACCAGAACAACTGCAAGCCATTCAAGCGGGAGAAGCTGCTCCACCAGCTGGCATTCAACAGCTTGTCCCCCGAGTCCTACCAGCTGCAGGATACGATGCCACGGACCAACCAGCGCAGAAGGTGTTCACAGGCCCCAGAGTCTCTCCAGCCACTTGTCACCCCTCAGGAGGCAGCAGGCCACCACATTTGTTCTACAGCGACTCAGACTCTCTCCAGTTCCAAGACTAACTGTGCTCTAGAGTGGGCATGTCTTGGGAAAACACCACCAAATGACTCCAAGATCTGCCAAGATCTGCTGGCTAATAGCGCCAAGCACACCATTTTTTAAATTAAAAACAAAGGCCAGTTCTAAGTACTCCTCTCAACTTGTCAAACTTACTAATCTGTGTGGGCACAGTGACGCTACAGATTTCTTAAGACAACACAAAATAGTGGCTGACAGCTGCCCTGTTCCTCCTGAAATGAATACTTCTGTGGAAGAGGTACAGCCTCACGAGAGCAAACTCACAGGATTGTGCACCTTTGCCCATGCACTGACAGCACCGCAATTCAGAGAGCCAAGAATTTCCGAACTCCGCTATCTGTGGGTAAATGGAAAAATGAAGTGCCTGAAGTATAGTATGTCTGAAAATGCTGATGATCACAAGTGCAGAGAGACCAATTCCAGTCTCTGTTTTATAAGCATTGAGGTCTGTTCAGCCCTAAAATTTACAGACGTGTAAGTGGGACATGACTGGTTTCAAGTAAGAGTCAATTTTTTACTGAAATCGTGGCAGGGTTACAATTCTTGACTGGATATATTTGACATAAACTACCTGTCTGATCTAGTGTGCAAAATGCAAGGATAATTCTTTCTTCCTACCTCGTCCCTTACTTAAGGTCTTTTCACTTGTACTTATCTAGGAGTTTTCATGGTCTGCACTACAAAGGCCTGCCACCACACCAATATGCTTCTCCTTGTCAAACAATTGGACAATTATTTCCTTTCATTCAATTTAGCACCTTCAGTAACTACACACTGGAGAAGCAACTTCGTATGCAAAGGGAATGTGAAGCTTTATTCAAGACTTCTAGTTAATAAAGAGTTTATCTACAGAAAAAATTACTATGGAAGGAAAAGAGATCCAAACATCCATCATAATGAATTACTGGCTTCTAAAAACGAACCTGCACCAATTCAGGGAGCAAGTCTGCACTAGCATCCACACACACGCACGTCCACATACACCAGCAGCCCGGAGACGTTACCAGTAACCGGTTCCCTTGTCTGTGCTTGTAATGAACTGGATTCAAGCGCCAAAGCACTGCACCTGCTTCCACTATGGCATTTTAGGTTAATAGTTTGCTTCTGCTAGGAAAGAAGTCAAGCTGGTCCAGAAATCAATGCTGAATTAAATCTGAGCCACAGGGATGTTCAGTGAAGAGAACCCAGAAACAGTAAGTAACAGGGGACTTCAGCAATAACTGGAATTGCCTTCTAAGAGTCAGCTGAAGCAGGCTGCTGTTAACACCCTCTGCCTGCTTACTGCTGCTCCGTTTCATTTCATTTTCACATTGCTCTTGCCACCTCTCCCACAACCAGCTGCTCCATCAAACTGCCACGCCAGCCCAGGACAGCGTGACGCGGGAAGCCTGGCACAGTGCCCTCCTCTCCAGCCACCGCGATGAGGCTGACCTGGTAACAACTCTGCTCTCCCACCTTCTTTCATCGGCAACACCTTTGTCTCACACAGCTGCAAAGCTATCTTGGAGCAGACAAATCAGGTTCCTCAAATGGATTTCTTTTCATCTAGATCTGTGGTCTACATGGATTTATTGTGCCCGAGATACTTAACAGCAAGATGAAGGGAAGAGGACCAACATGCTTGATCTGTAGATCTTGTGTCTATTGGTAACAGAAACATCCGAATCCTATTTTCATCACTCCCCTGTCTACCTGGGCTAAGTCTAACAGCCTGTCCAGAGCCTGGGGGCTGGCAGTCCCGTCCCGAGGGCCAATCCCCTTCCCACCCCCCTTGTTATTTACCTGAACACATCTCATTGGCTTCACTTGCTCCTCTCTGATACTTCTTTCTTCACCTTTCACGCAGCACTACCCAACACAGTCGTTAGGGCACGCGTATCACAAAGACATGACCGCAGCAATGATAATCTGTACTAGTTAATTTGCAGTATCTTGGGAAAGAAAGAATCCACATTCTCGGTACATGTAGTTCCTGATAATTAGGCATTTATTACTATTAGATACTTACAATACATCCTTTCTCATCCAGTAACTCTAACTTGAGCACTTGCTGAGACTGAGGTAACTAACCGTGAAAGGACCTTCCCATTTTCTTTCGCTGTCACAACATTTCTCGAGAGGAGGTAACGTGCTGGGATAAGCCTCAGCTGACTGATGCCCATTCACAACACTGGAGGAACTCACCAAGCCAAACTCTTATCTGATGCAGACTGCCTTGTAATCCCATGGGATGAGAAGTTTATAAATCAAGGCAGAATATAGCCACAAGGCATAGACAGAAGCTTAAAAAAAAGTCCCAAATTTATTACTGTATTTAGCAGCCAAACTGATGATTAAAGCACCTTAGATTTAAAACCTCAGCTCCAGCATCAGAAGCCAAGTGGCAAAGAGGAATCTAGATAAACCCTATTAAAAAAACATCTGTCATCTCAGAAAAATAAATTTCAGAGACATAGTTCTCTCCTCCCTGCTCCACCTCAGCTGGACCTCTCTGGACCTGCCGTTCAGGGTACCAACTTTAAATGAAAGAACTGTCTCAGCCATTGAATATGAATGGAAAGATTTTAGGTTTACAGTATGTGGACTTGCAGGGTTGTTCGTAGTAGCAGGGATTAAGTTAATGGTTTTTTTTTTTACCACAGTA